GGAGGGAGGGGGGGTTGCTTGTTTTTAAAAATATTTTCTATTATAATGACATTTTCCAAGCCTATCATCCTGGCAAGACACATGTGTTTCACATAATTGAAAAATTGGTCGCTTTTTAGGACAAGCCGGCTAACCCAGATGTCGGGGGTTTCCAGAAATCTTGACCTACACCAAAAGTGAGCATTGCCATTACCTATAGGAGAAGTTTGGTGTTTTCACTGGTGTGTATATTTGTTTGGTTACAGTCCGACCTGCTCTTACTGCAACCACCTGTCCAAGACAACCAACTGACCACTGCCCACTTCAGTTTGGTTTTGTTCGGTTATGTTCGGTTTTGTCGGTTTTGTCGGTTTTGTCGCTTTGAAGCTAGCAGGATTGTCCTCAGTGGGAGGGGCAATCCGACGAAACCAATGATGACCTTCGGTAACAAACACATTTGTTTTCATGGCCGTGCGTCGGGCGATCAGTTTGGGAAGATTATGATCTATTTATAGTGTGCCGCTTGAAACTGAACCGAACTGAACTGAACGGAACCGAACTGAAACGAACCGAACAGAACTGATCTGATCCGATCCTCCAATGGGCACCGCCAATAAGAGAACAGCTTTTCTCCTCAACAACAGATCGGCTACATTTATATTTGTATTTCGCGGTAATTTGTCGTAATTTATTCAAGACGTTCTTCGTTGATTATAAATTAATGTTTAACACTCCTTCTATACAGACATGATCGTTTAGGAGGCGGGCTGCTTGGGACCTGCCTGTCGGGGTCAAAGCAGGTCTGACTGGATTACAGAAAGACAAAGATAATCGAGAAACTAGATCATCATCATCGTTATCATCATCATCATCATCATCATCATAATCATCATCACCATCATCACCATCATCATCATCATCATTATTATCACCAACACCATCGTCATCATTATCATCATCATCATCATCATCATCATCATCATCATCATCATCATCATCACCATCAACATCACCATTTTTATCATCATCATCGTCATCATCATCATCGTCATCATCATCATCATCACATCACCACCGTGATACAATGAAAACGACGATAACTACGACTACGACGACGATGATAACAGCGACGATGTAGACAACAAAACCGTTGTCACCACAAAAGTGCTCACATCTCGAGGCGGCATCATTGGTATGCTTCCTGAACCGTTGGTCGGCGGTACACACATCTGCGTCATCAGCATCATCATCATCTGCTGAGGATCTGCGGCTTCCTTACCCGGCCTGAGAAATAAAAAAATACCCGGAAAGGATAAGAAATCATTGTTTAGTTGGGGGGTTTTTCAAAAATTATTTAAGGGGGTTGGGGGGGGGGTACGCACCAAAAGTACCGATTCAGCTCAAAATTATGGATTCGTGGGCATTTTAGCTTCTTCAGTTTCTCTTTCAACTATTTCATAACATTAGAACCCCTTAAAACCTTATTTCTTCACATGTTGGGCATTTATTTTTCTTTATCGGCCGTTTTCTCAAAACGAGGAATTTTTTCAATGACTCCGCCATTTTTCATGAAATTGTCATGACATTTTCACAGAATGAAGAGAAGATGTAATACTAAAACGATTCTGTTGAATTTGTCATGCATGGAACAGATTTTTGTTTGTGGTGTCTGGAGTGTGAATTTTCACGCAGTTTTTGCAAACTTGTATACTACCTCAGGAGAAAAAAAACATTGAAAATCTTCTAATTCGTTTAGGAAAAATTCATTTGATAAATGTGTGCAGCTAATGTTTGCTAACATGCATGCAAAAAACCAAACTTTCCATAAAAAATAAGTGCGGTATTCATCACATATAAATGTCAGTAAAATCCAATATGGCCGCCGTAGCCATGGAAAAATTAATTACAGATTTTAAGATCCTTGACTATGCTTGCTATATGTGTGAAATTTGGTCAATATTTGATCCACTAATAAGCGAGATAGCCTCCAAGTGTAGCCCTCCTCCTCCCCCCCCCCCAATCATCATCACCATCAGCAGCAGAAGCATCATCATCATCATCATCATCATTATCACGGTATAAAGAAGTTGATTTTAAGGACGTATTTTCAGTTTTCAAACACAAGTTAACTTACTAAAGAAAATCCTTCACTTACAAGTGGTACGGCTTTGCGAAATGGACGAAGGCTGGTATCATGAGCAAAAGGCCGTTAGTAAAAGCGCAAAGCCCAATTATAAATGGGATGTGAGATTTCTGTGAAGGGGAAAAAAACAAATAATTGGAATTAATCATAAGAAACAACACTTTGTTTCTGCGATGGTGTACTTTTAGACAACATAAAGAGAGGAAACCAGTAAATGAATCATTTTAAAAAAATGTCGCATTTTTTGAATTTGTGATTCCAGACCTAATTCCTTGGATACCAATATTAAATATTGCTTAGAATTGCCTTTGACTATGTTCATGAACAAGGTAAAACGTTCCTTGATCTTAAAATCAGGTTTTCAAAACTACCCAAGTCATAGAATTTTACAGCTCTTTTGTAAATCTTGCTCAGAAGGCAAAAAGTGGCAAGTTCCGCAACACGTGTATATGTTTTTTAAAACATGCTAGGGATAAAAATCATGGCACCAGGGATTAAATATTTCACAGTTATACAGAGTATTGGACAGCATTACCGAGGCAAAAAAATCTTGGTGCCCGTTCTTGTCTTATATTTGTTTATTAACTCTTTATCTCCATATTTTGCTTAACCCATTTCAAAGTTCTCTTCTGTTACCCAGCATTTCACTCAGATGAATGGTCCTTAGATATAAATGTATTTCTTTGAGATTTTGCGAGTGAAGACTCCCTTCATATTCCCTTATATAACATGAGACAGGGGAGCTTATGCAATGCACGATTGAAAGATACAGATTCAAGTTCAACCCAACATGGTGACTATTTGAGCATTAATGTCCCTCCTGTTACTGGGGTCTATACGACTTATTGTACAGAAATCCGATACACTCTCCTTTGGTTAGGAAGTCTGCCAAGGTTACATTTCAATAGTAAGACAATCCATAACAATAGCTCTACTCAGTGAGTGTCGTCAGGGTAATGATGTACAGAATTCCCTCCTGTTACTTTCCCTACTGTTACCCGGGTTTTAGTAACAGGAGAGAATAAAAAAGTAACAGGAGAGAATATCTTAACCGACCACAGTTTGGGTTAGAATGTGAGGTAGTCAAAGCTTAATAGAGTAAATGAAAGAGGTTAAAACTAAAGGCATGTTTGTGTTTTTCAACGGAACACCTGAATTGTAATTATTATCTTTGAGTAACAGGACGGAATTGAGAGTAACAGGAGAGAATACAAGATAGCAAGTTGGAGGGGTAGCTAAACCTGTCCCCGTCGTTTTATGCAAGAACAATTTTGAAATTATGCAAAATGAGGACAAAAATATGAAATTATGGGATTCTGTTAATTTGAACTAAGAATGTTAAAGGAAAATAATCAGAAATTATGCGAAAAATGATCAAATTTTGCTAAATTATGCGGGATACATAAAGCCACGGGACAGCTAAACCGACCAAAGTTCAGGTTGAAAATGGGTCATTTATGCACAAACAAAACAGAATAGTTATTATAGGAAAGATGTGTTTGTACTTTTTCAACAAACTCCTGTATTGTGATTCTGTAATTTAGGTAACAGGATGGAATTGAGAGCCATAGCGAGGGAACACCAGAGTAGAAAGAATGACAAAACCTTCCATGTTTCCTACATCGATAACAATAATAATGCAACCTACTTTTGTTCCACCAAAGTCTAGAAACTTCTATTTTGATAAGTGGTATCGAAGAGTTCTAAGTAATCGTGATATTGCCGGTTTAGGGGTTCGAGCCTCAGCTCGGTCCAACGTTGTGTCCTTGGGAAATACACTTAACCGACGAATTTCCCATTTGGCTCCGTCCTTTCGGAGAGGATGTTAACTGCTAAACTCGGAGGTCCCACCTCTGAAATAATCTTATAAGGGCGCTAAACCTGTACCATTTAACCATATTAACCAAAGAGCTCTTAAAATGTAGGTCTAAATTTAGATCTTTTATTCAGTTGCAGATTTAGAAGTGCATTTCGCGTTGTCGCAGAGACGTAGATGTAGACTGAAGTAAGAAATAAGAATCTTCGTCACAGAAAATTTGTCACACATGAAATCAGCTTAGCTTAGTTGACTTCAGCACTATGCCACTTATGCTAGATCTAGATTGATTGTATGAAGGGCAGGCCCTATATATATATATGGTTGATTTCTCAAACAGGACTTTTTAATATTTGCTTTTTTTCACCAGAGTCAAAGCTGACTCCTGCTGAAAAAAGTAATAAAGGAGAGACAGAATGAGGCGAAACAAGAACCCAGTGAAGACGCTGCACGACATGCAGTATGAAAAGCAGAACTGCATCAAAGACAAAGAACAAAGTTAAAGGAAACCTGTCGTTTGTATGATTTCAAGAGACCATTTGGCAGCATGTATGGAATGGAGAAAAACGAAGAAAGACACAAATCGGAAGAGGAAATCAAACTGTGCCGATGACAAAACAGCAGATGCCCCATTCTCAAGTGTGTTATTCTCTAGACTAAAGTGTAGGTTTGCAATGAAAACAGTGCAGAGAAAAAGAAAATTAAAGTTGAAAATGAAAACCTTATCTGAGAGCAAGAAGGCATAGAAAAGAATACTGAAATTTCCTTTTGCTCTCCTGGATGAATTGAAAGACTGATAAAAGAAAACAAAAGTATTCGAATGTTGGCTTCTGGAGAAATATTATGAAAGTACAAAATCCAGAGCAAATTTTAATTTTGTAGAACTCTCAACATAAAGACCAAAAGGAAACTGAAGAAAAAAGTCTTTTCAACTCTGCAGATGGATAAAGTGCACATTTAGGGGGTTTTTTCTTTGGCCTGGCAACTCGAGAATTTTGAACGGTTTAAAAATATTGTTACCTTGAAAGAGATGTTTAAAACCCAGAGACGTTTGTTGAATGACATCGTAGAACATCTGTACAGACATTACCCGAGCAGTTCAAAGATTTTTTCAACAAGCTTTTGGCAGCGGAAGCTATTTAATAGTCAGATGAAAACACTTGTGCGTGCAAGATTTGGGATAACTCAGAGTTGACAGCTGACGCTTCGTGTATTCATTGTGTTCATCTGAAAGTTATTTCTGCTCACTTTTGGCCAAAACATGCATGCATGGATCGTGTGATCATAGAAACCCAGTCCCACTACTAAACATCATCATCGACAGGACACAACTTAAAGAAGTTGAGGAATTTAAATAGCTTAGGAGCATGCTTACACATGACGGAAGATTGGAAATAGGAAAATTGAAATCAGGCCATAAAAGCAAATGCAGAAACCTATAAATAGTCAGCACTACTCACCCATAAACACCTACCAGTGGAAGTAAAAAGACAACGACTTATTCACAGCATATTCCTTCCAACACTGACTTACGATATAAAACAGGAAGACGAAAGACTGATAAACGAAATTTGACAGGGAATAAACCAGTTATGGAACAAAAACATCAAAAAATGAAGTGGTTTGGTCATCTGATGAGAGTGTCACCAAATCAACCAGCTTCACAAGCTGACGACTCTAATATGACCGGATACAAGGGCAGGTGCAGACCACGCAAAACGTGGCTGGATAGCGTTATAGAGGATAGCGTTATAGAGGTCCTCCAAAAGAATAACATTTCAACAACAGAAGACACCTACACTGCTCTTGATTGAAAATTGTACCCCCCCCCCCTCCCCCAACATCTAAGGATGCAAGAGGAAGGATAAACCAAAGTAAAAGGATCCAATCCTAGCATACTCTGAAGACATGAGACTCACTGCAACGTGGCAGAAATGGGTAGCAATGAAAGAAAATAGAAATCCCGAACGGTGAACAGAAGAAAATAAGAATGACTAAGAAGAGAACAGAAACTGGGAGGCTGATGCCATTGTGGGCTTTATTCCAGGAAACGTTTCGACAGTACAAGTTATACGACGATTGTAATATTGACCATCAGTTTAAGGAAAGACATAGCAATCTTCAAGCCAATGAAGCAAGAGTACCTGCTAACGTCGCTCAAAATTGTTTGAGTAAAATGGAAGAGGGAATACTAAGCACACACGTTGGGGCTTTGCAAAATCAGATGTCTACACTACACACTGGTAACTTTACTTTACTCTTATTTTATATTATCTTTTATACAGCGTGGTGTCGAGGAGAGATTCAGTTCTCGGACAGGGGCCAGGTGTGTTGCTTTTCGGATCGCCATAGTGTGCCTTTGAAGGATATCTTTGACTCCATCGATCCATCTTTTTATTAGCCTTCCTTTTGCTCCATAGCCATCGAATCGCATCTTGTAGACCTTTGAGGCTGGCAGTTGAGGCCCTATTCTCATTACGCGTCCAAAACTTCCTCTCGATATATTTCGTTTCGACGCCCACTTATTGTTTGATGCCTTCGTTTTTTTACACTGGTAACTACACCCAGTAAATAACGTCTCCACAGAATATTTATGTTACATGCTTTCAACATTCCCATCCATTCTTCGGTTATTCCTTTAGATGATGTCACTAATATAAGTGTTTCATTCTTGATGAGTGTTGTTGTTAAAAGCTGATAACAGTCTTTTATGTTCCCTCCTGTTACCGACTTTCTCTCGTTCATTCAAAAAATCTTTAACTTTGTTTTTAAAAAGTAAGTGTGGGATTAGCTTCACCTTACTGTCTTCTTCTTCTTCTTCTTCTTCTTCTTCTTCTTCTTCTTCTTCTTCTTCTTCGTATTCTTCTTCTTCGTATTCTTCTTCTTCGTATTCTTCTTCTTCTTCTTCGTATTCTTCTTCTTCTTCTTCTTCTTCTTCTTCTTCTTCTTCTTCTGATGTCAAGTCTGGTGTAGACATTAACGATCATGGTACGCATTCCTTCCTCTTGTCTGTCTTCTAATCAGCTCGGTTTCTCTCTTTCTGTTATTCGTTGCAAAGTTGTTCAGACTATCTGTGTATGTTCTTTGTCTTCCTCAGATCTTCTTTCCCTCTATCCTTCCAAACAGCAATGGCGTCGGTAGCCTAGTGGTTAGGCTACATTGCTCGTAATAGTGAGATTGCAGGATCGGGGGTTCGAGCCTCAGCTCGGTCCAACAGAGTGTCCTTAGGAAAGGCACTTTACACGAATTTCCTACTTGGCTCGGTCCTTTCGTAGACCGACGTTAAACTAGGAGGTCCTGCCTCTTAAATAGCCTAATAGTGTTGATAGGGGCGTTAAACCCATACCATTTCACCATTTTCACCTTCAAAACTGCAGCAGTTTTCTAGCCCATTCGATCTATTTACGTGACTAAATATGACCCTGTTTTAAAGTCTACAGCAATTTCTGTATACAGCTCAGTTCCAAAAATCAGCTACAAACCAAAGAGCAAGAAAAGCAAGAAACATAATATTAATTCTCACCACGTGTATATGCTTAATGATAAAATTATCAACGAATAATGTGAATAATAACTTTAGACTAAGTCCACAGTATACCAATTTAATACAGAAAAATTAACGTATACAACAACTTAGATATCTATCCAAAGTTGTCGGGAAAGAACAACAAAAAAAGCCAGAACAACATAAACACACAATACCTCGGGTCCATTCTTCTTTCATCTTCATTTTCAGTTCCTCACGACTGGATACACATTTGAATTGTGTTATGTGTATAATAATGTGTGTATATATATATATATATATATATATATATATATATATTTATATATATTATATATATATATATATACATGTGTGTATATGTGTGTATGAGTATGTGCTTGTGTGTGTGTGTGTGTGTGTGTGTGTGTGTGTGTGTGTGTGTGTGTGTGTGTGTGTGAGTGCTGTAGGCGTTCTATATCTAGATGACATCGATCGTCAGCCTCAAAGATATAAGAAAGGAAGACCGGTGTCGCGCCATTGAGCATACACGACACAGACCCTATAACCGCGAGGGACCAGCAGAC